TTTGACTGCATCATCACATTGCCGCTGTATATATTTGCCTTGTATATCTGACCGTTGAATATGTCATTCACGCCAAGATAAACGGTAAGGCTTTTGTCAAGGAACATTTTATAGACCCGGAGATTGACGGTTGAAAGAGTATGGGTATAGGCCCAGTTCTTCCAATCACCGTGACTGCGCCACCATAGTGAAGCCTCGATAAACCAATCGTGCGGAAGTGTCAGGGTATTATTCATTTGAATGGTGAATATGGGGCTGTTCATTTTCTTATGCTGCCCGAGATATTCGACATCAAACCACTGCTTCTGCATACCCAAGGAGAGCGACGGGTTGTATATGCCGAATTGAGGTGAGGCGTTTACAAATATTGAAAACAACTTGTGGCTCGGCATATTGGTGACGGTGAACACGTTGATACGGTCGTTGCCCTCATACGGTTCATAGACCTGCACGATAGCATCTTTTGTGTAGGAATACTGGGCTGAAAGGGTTATGTATTTCCAAGATGCCTGTGCGGTAAAGTCCTGTCGTTTGGAGGGCACGAGATATGGGTTGCCACGGGTATATAAAATGGAATTTACATAGAAATAGTTGCCGTTAAGATTTTGATATGTCGGTCGCACGGTTCGGTTGCTGTATGATAACGAAAACCTGAAATCACCGGGCGAATAAGTTATGTTGGCCGACGGAAAGAAATTGTCATAGGTCTTGCTCTGCCCGTCTGCGAGCCGATTGTTGATATAATAGTCGGATTTAACGTGTTCGTATCTAACTCCGGCTGATGCGCTGAAATCACCGAAAGTCTGGCTGACTTCCGCGAACACACCGATATTGTTTTCCCGTACATCGGTTTCCTCGCTGTTCAATATCGCTTCCGGATTTTGAAAATCGTTACGGCTGCGAGAGTTGGTATATTCTTCTCCGATGAGTACGCTCCCTTTCGGCAGTTGATATGACACCGTGGCCTTTTCAGCGAAAAGGCGGTTTCGGGAGGTGTTGAATGTCGTTACATTACGGTTGTCGGAAAATTGGTTTTGCTCGTACTGGTATGTGCGGTCATTATCCTTTGTCTGCATATAGTCACCGTTCACATCAAAAGTAAATTTTCCGACGGTGCCGTTATAATATACATTCGCGCTGTTGCAAGGGAGGGCCTTGAACCAACCTTTAAGATCTGATGCACTTGACTCAGAGAGTGAGCTATTTTCGGTAATATCATTTAGAAAATATCCATAGTGATGACCTCTATTATAATCATTACGATAATAAGCGCCTATACTATGATTTTCGTTAAATTGGTAGTTAAACCCAAATTTGCCGGATATAGTGGTTTGCGTTGTGCTAACGGACTCTTCCGACACCATGGATAATACCGATTTGCCATTCGTTGTACTCAAAATGTATTCATCATCATAGTTCTTGCCATGACTGAAATTGCCTGTGGCAAATATTTCAAGTCCGCCTGTACGATATTTCAAATCAAGTTGTTCTGTTGTGGTGAACCATTTGTTGTAAATATTGTCAGTATATGCGGAAAGACTGAAACCCTCGCCAACTGGCTTTTTGGTAACAATCTTTATCACAGCGTTCACATCAGCTCCATATTGCGCACCGGGATTATTGATAACCTGCACCTCCTTGATGTCCGAGGAAGCAAGCTGTCCCACCTCGCTTGAGTTTCTTACGAGGCGACCGTTGATATAAATTATTGCATTGCCACGGCCAAACACGCTGAAATTACCGTTGCTGCCAGTCAGCATCGGCACATTTTTAAGCACATCATTAGCCGAGCCTGTGGTAGCCAGCACACTGTTCTCCACGTTGGTGACAATCGCATTGCCCTTTATTCGAGTAGAGGGAAGACTTGCCTTGACAACTACCTCTCCCAGCATTACTGACGAGGGTGACAGAGAAAGAGTATTGAAATTACCATCGGCGGGGATAGGCAATATCAGATCTTCATAACCAATCATGGATACTTTGACCTTGTTGGCAGTACTATCAGCATTTTCAAACATAAAACCTCCAGTATCATCAGTAACCTTCCCATCAATGAAAGTTGAGTCAGACATCAGCACAACATTGACAAATGGGGTTGGTTGTCCAATCTCATCTACAATAGTACCTCGAATACCTTTAGCCCAACATCCAATAGAAGTTGCAACTAATAAAATTGTATATATTAATTTCATAGAATTTGGAGTTAAGATTGCTTATAGAATGTATTTCTGCGAATACGATCCTTTATGATAGTCATGACCAGTTGCTCTTTCTTCTCGGGACAATTCTGATATATACAATAATCATTGTCAGAATTATTTAACACACTCCTTGAACATCCTCCCAAGCATAGAGGAAATATAGGACATGAAATACAATTCTGATTAGAGAACCGTTTCTGTTGTCTGATTTGAAATTTTTGCTTTAGATCATCTTCAATAGTGGTGGAAGTTATGTTACTCTCAGATTTCTCAGCTTCAAAATTGATTGCGGTACATTTAAAAATACGGCCATCACTATTAATGACTATGGTATTGGCTTTGTCTGCATAACACATATTTCTTAGATTATCCAGGATTGCTGGATAAGCATATACTCCTAAAGCGCAAATTGAATCCATAAGGATGTCCATTTGACCCGTTATGTCAGCTTCTTCAGATGTTTGCCAAACCTGTTGTATGTTAACTGATAGAAATTTCTTGCAATCATCTGAAAGCCCCTTGATCCAAGAGGTAATATCCTTGCATTCGCTTATATTTGCTGGAGTTACGTTTATTCTTAATGTTACAGAGATACCTTTATTAAGCAAAGATTCTATGTTAGATGTAATGGTGTCAAAAGAGTCTTTCCCTTTTGATATCCGAGTTTTGTTATGGGTTTGTTTACCACCATCCAATGTTATTTGCATGAATTTCACATAATGCTGTGAAAGAAAATCTATCATTGAAGGTGTGAGTAAGAACCCATTTGTTGTAAAAGATATTTGAATATCTTTGTTTACTTTGGAGACGGCATTTTCAGTATATTCAATTAATAGTTTTACTATACGAGAAAATTCAAGAAGAGGTTCTCCTCCAAAGAAAGACAATTTTATAAGATTGGTTCTTTCTATTGTCTGGCCAATAAGAGCCTTTGTCCTTTCTAGTATATCATTATTCATTATTGGTGCATTACGATGGTTCTCGTAGCAATACCAACAATTAAAATTGCACCTAAGTGTTGGATTTATAATGAAAGTGAAACTATCAGAAGATAATGTGTTGGAGTTCCAGATCTCAATAACCTTTTCTCTCTCGTTTAGATTCGAGGGTACAATCATGCCATTCTCTTGAAGAAGAGAAAAAATTGTAGGTGTTATAACAGAAATGTCTCTCAAATCTACTTCATGACGAATTGCGATGAATTTGTCGGAGACAGAGTTGTATAGTAAATCACTCTTCTCAGACATGGGAACTCTGATATTGTATAGGCTTAATTTACTCATAAATATAGTTGATAAGTGTAAAATCGTTAATTTATCAGCAGATGATCAAATCATCTGCTGATAAATTTTTCTTTAGCTGCTCAAGTGTGAGAGATGAGATCATCACTCTTGCAGTTGTTAGTAATGGGACACGGGCAGTTGTCTGTGTTGCATCCGTAGTTCGATTTTGCATCTACGGTGGTCGTAGCAGATGCAAATCCTCCTGTGAGAAGGATGGCTTCGTCCTCTTTGAGGATCTCAGCATCCAGCGTTGAGATGAAGCTGGATAGGGTTGTGTTTTCTTTTTTCATAGCTTTATGAGTAAAACTGTTCAACTAAAAAAAAACAAAATATGGAATTTAAAGTTGGGTGCATAACAAAATTTTACAGAAATAATCTGGTTGTAGTGAATGAATATTTTTTAGTTTCATTTTGTGGATTGGAAAATAATCACTAACTTTGTAACAATAAAACAATATAAAAATAAAACATTAAATAAATATAGCAATATAGATGGCCGAAGATAGAGTGGAAGAGCTCAAGAGAATATTGCAGCAGAATGAGGTGAGTGTCGCCAATGCTCATGAGGCTTTGGAGCACCATCTCAATCAACTGCACCGTCTTGGGGCAACCTTGGAAGATAACGTGTGTGAAGTCCTCAGGAAAGTAATTGTTCAGGCAGAAGCTATCGAGGAACTTGACCGAATAACAAATTGGACATGGCGAAAATAATAGCGATAGCCAACCACAAGGGTGGTGTGGCAAAAACAACGAGTTGCGTAAACATAGCCGCAGCCTTGGCAAAAATGGGCCGTCGGGTGTTGTTGGTGGATGTAGATCCACAAGCGAACCTTACGAGCAGTTTCACTGACGAAAGCAAGATAGAGGCTTCAATCTATGATGCAATGAAAGGCGCTCCGGCACCAATCATGCACATATTGGAGAACCTTGATTTGATACCATCCCATATAGATCTTGCCGGAGCAGATATGGTGTTCAGTAATAAGATTGCCCGGGAACAGATCCTGAAGAATATCCTTGATGAACTGAAGGCTGGATATGACTATATAATTATAGATACACCCCCCGCTCTTGGTTTGGTGACAATCAATGCTCTCACTGCCGCTGACAGTGTGATCATATCAATCTGTGCGGAAACTCTCCCTCTCCGAGGTTTGGTGATGCTCGATGAAATGATAGGAGACATCGCTCAAAGCATCAACAAGGGACTTCATGTTTCTGGCATCATAATCGCCAAGTATAATCGGCGCAAACTTGATAATGCGGTTATCGAGGCTATACGTGAGAAGTATGGAGATAAGATCTACAAGACCTATGTAAGAACTTGTGTGTCGGCGGCAGAAGCTCCGACATATCGTCAAAGTGTTTTGGACTATGCTCCGGGGTCAACCGTTGCGGAGGATTATAGAGCACTCGCAAAAGAAATAGACAAACAAGATAAAAATAAATAAGTATAACAATATATAAATAAAACAATATAAAAAGTATGGCAAAAAAGACATTGACATCAGGATTGCTTGGTACAGTGACAGGCTTGAGCAAGGAGGCTGAATCAGTATCTACTAATTCGGCTGTTGCCCCTGTCGAAATGCCAAAAGAAGTGGCACCTGAAATACCGGGACAATCCGATAAGCGCAGACCGGGAAGACCATCTGCCAACTCTGGAGAACCGGAAATATGTGTGACATTCAAACTTCCGGACTCACTTGCCCAAGAAATAAAGATGCTTGCTGTGGTTGAGCGTACAACTCAAAAGGAGATCATAACGACTGCATTGAAAGAGTATGTTTCTCAAAGAGTAAAATAACAATATAAAAATATTTCAATATATAATTAAACAAATAAAACAATTTATATTGTTGTTAATTGGAGCGGTCGCATTTGAGTCCGCTCCAATTAAATTCACATACGTTCTCTATATGAAATAGGAGCAGATTTGTGTATTTCGGGAGAAATGTCTATTTTTGTAAAACTGTAAAAGAAATTGTATTGATAATATACGCCCCCCTAACGGGGCACGAGGAACGAGTGCCCCCCTGTTCAAAATTTTAGATTATGAGTATAGATTTTAGTAAGATTGACTTGAATAATTTTGATTTCGATACTCTTCCTGCGGATGAGTACCGGGAGTTTCTTCAGGCTTGGTCGGATTATCATGGTCGGCTGAACCGTGTTTCTGTGGATGTGTTGGAGCAGGAGTTTGAGCGTAAATCCGATTATCTTCAGTGTGGGGAGCATTATGAATTGTCAGAGCTTTATCCTGATGAGTTTGTCGAGTTGTTGTTTGAGAGGAAAGCCTTTGAACATGGTGAGGGGATTATTCCTTTTGAGGAAGTACAGAGCTATGAATATCAGTTGTGGTTGAAGCAGAAGATCCGGAACAAGGCTTTGAGGTCAGAGTCCTCCAATTCAGATGATGCACAGTCAGAGAAGATAGACTATAGTGGTTATCGTATGTGGAGATATAATCCTGTGGTGTTCTATAAGGATGGAAAGAAGAATAGGCATAGGTTGTTGCTGAAGGATGATGGCGAGAGTCTGAGTTTCCTCAATGGGCGGGATTTTGTGATATTGTCCCCGGTGACTTATGTAGGGCGTACCAACTCTTATAGGAACGCTCGGTTTCTTTATGCCTTTGCGATAGATCTTGACGGTGTGAGTATGCACGAGGTCCGGATGTTGTTGCGTGGTATGACAACGGGGGTCTATCCTGTTGCCAACATCATAGTCAATTCCGGACATGGGATTCATGTGTATTACCTGTTGAAGCGTCCGATTGAAATGTTCGCCACTCGCCTTGATGCGTTGAACAAGATGAAACGAGGTTTGACCAAGATTGTGTGGCTCGTGTCAAAACTTGGTGCGGAGAGGGCGCAGGTTCAGAGTGTGGTGCAGGGCTTCCGTGTGCCGGGAACCAAGACAAAGTTCGGCAAACCTATCCGGGCATTCTGGAACCGTTCCGCGCCCATGCACACGCCGGAGGAACTGAATAGCTTTTTAGGGCGTGCTTTTGGATTGTCTGATGAAGAACTCGGACAGTTGACAGATAAGACTCCGCATAATCCGTCCCGTGTGACGCTGAAAGAGGCGCAGGAACGATGGCCGGAGTGGTATGCCTCCCGTGTCATAGGACGTCGCAGGGTAGGCAAGAAGTGGCAACTCAATCGTGGATTATATGATTGGTGGTTGAATATCCTTAAAGACGGTCAGCAGGTGGAAGTGCATCACCGGTACTGGTGTATTCTTACATTGGTTGTCTATGCTGTCAAATGTAGCGTACCCCGTGATGAAGTCCTTGCCGATGCACTATCCTTGGTTCCGGCTTTTGACCGCAAGACTGAGACAGTGGATAATCCCTTTACGGAGGACGATGTAAACGATGCCATGAGAGCTTATGACGAGGAATATAACAAGTGGCCGCTTAGGGTTATTGAGACAACCACAGGTATAAAAGTAGAAAGAAATAGACGTAATGGAAGAGAGCAGAATGTCCATTTACGAAGAATTAGAATGCTTCAAGAAGTAGATTATCCTGATGGCACATGGCGTAAAGGGAATGGACGAAAGATTGCAACTCCGGGTAATAGTCCTCATGCCTCTATCATAAAAGAATGGCGAGCGAAGAATCCGGATAGCAAGAATAAATCTTTGTGTGCCCGGGAGACAGGACTCTCCAGACCTACTGTTACCCGGTGGTGGGATTCTGCC